ATACTAGAAAAGGATTTTCATTAGAGTCTCTATTATATTGGATTTGTGGCAGTGAAGCCACTGATTGGCTGAACTGGAGGGATAGCTGAGACTGGAACATAAACAACTGTAGTTCAGCTGTTTCAACAGAAAACTATCAATAAAGCTCACTGGGTGACTTTGGACCAATCATTCACTTTCCTCCCAACTGACCTCACAGGTTTAAGGTTTTAATTTGAGCCAAATTGATATCCTGGATTGAGAAGATGTCCCAAAAAAGGTTTCTAAGGGAAAAGCACAGTGATAAAGAAGGTGAGGGAAGGATGCAGAATAATTTAAAAAACAGACTGAGAATTAGAAACTTGAAGGAAATTTAGGTGGTTCATAGGGCTTGAAGAATACAACAAAGGAAACAGGAAATGGGAGCAAGAAGGAGCCTTGAAAGAATGACACAGTGCTTTGGATAGGTTACGGCTCTGGCACATGAGGTGGAGGAGAACCAGAGAGGCTGATCAACAGAGAGAATAGCTGGAATAAGTGGGGCAAAGAGGCAGTGGCCTGAGAAATAGGAACTTGAGAAACAATCAGTGGTATATGCATCCTGCACAAAGACTGAGCAAGGATAAAGTTGGGCAAAGTTACACAATGGATCAAGAGACAAGGAGGGTAAGTGCAAACTATTCACAGAAAGTCATGAACATGCAAGGCAGAGTTATGGGCAAGGCAAGGAGCAGAGAGTTGCTTAGACCTAGAAAGTAGACAATGACTGGGGAATTCTGATAATTGTGGTAGTCATGGTGGTGTTTCCACTGTCAGTTTGAACATAGCTATCCGCAACTTTAAGGATTAGAAACAAATAGCTTGACATAGTGTGGCAGTACTGATGGTAAACCTACCTTTTACATACTGGATTAATTAGGCAGTTTGTTAATGACATGTTCTTTGTAAATAAGGGTTCATATAATATGCATCTAACACAAAAGTTACTCATCCCTTTCTGGACCTTCAAGCCTGTTTCAAAGGAGCTTTTGGCACCTTCCAAACATTGACTAAACCAACTTGGAGGATTTGTTGTTGTATAGATTAAGGATTTCTTTTGTGTTACATTTTTATGGAGTGTTGAAAGACAGGAAGATGGATACATTTCAGGACTGATTGCATAGGTTGGAACTGTATCGAATTCCCTTGGCAATTTTGTCTATTTCAGCTTTCTCTGCTTATTATAGTTGTTTTGCTTTCCCAAATACATACATACATACATACATACATACATACATACATACATACATACATACCCTAAGAGCTTCTTGACTGAGATACAGAATATATGGGTTCCTGTCTCTACTCAGTAGTGAAGCTGGGCCAGTCACTTACTCTCAGCCCAACCTACCTTTCAGGTTATTTGGTATGAGAAAAAAATGGAGTGGGGGAGGATATGTTTGCTGCCGTGGTTTCCTTGCAAGAAGGAGAAAGTTGGACTATAAATGCAATAGTGATAATAATAAACTTTATCAGTGCAAGTACTATATTAGTTACAAGAAGTAGAATGAAGATCATCCTCTGTATTGATACCTTCCTGCACTATCTTGCAGGTTCTTACACGAAAAGGTCTATTAAAAGGTCTATTAAAAGACCTTTCCTCTTCAGTATATTTTTTTCATGATGCAGAAATAATTCAAACATATGGAAATTCCAGTACTTGTATTTTGCTACTAAAAGATAATGAAATAATAGCATTTTTAAAAGTGTATATGGTATCTTAAAATAGACAAATTTTAGATGGAGCAAGAATTTGCTAGGTTTTAATTTTTTTTCTCTGATTTTCGGTCAGGGGAAAAAAGCTAGATTAGGAATAACATAGTAGGTGTCTTCTGTATGGTACTATGTGGGTTTCTAAGTTATCCAGAGCTGTTTACTCATAGAATAATATATCTAGGAAGCTTCTATCCTCAACCAAAACACAATTCAGTCTAACATCCAATCTCATAATCCAGATTGTGAAATACCACAGTTCTATTAGCATGTTGCACCTTTGGGTGGGAACCATAGTTATTAAACAGTTTAAATGTGTGGTGTGAACAATTTCATACAATATCGCACAGGAAACTGAGAAAAATGCAGGTAAATGACCATGCTTTGCATCACCCCTTTAAATTTCTGAAGATGCCCCCCTCCTTTCCCCTGATCCTACCCACTGAATCCTGGATGGTTAAAATGATCCTTCTGTGGTTTAGTTACTGGCACTAAACCAGCTTTAAGCTACATTGTGCTGGTATTTTCTGAATTTTGTCCACAAGCCCTTTTGCTTTTGGCTCTGCCCACCATTGCAATACAGCTCTGAAGAGCTTCTCCAAAACTGAATTCAGATCCCAGACTGAAAACAATTCACTATCCATGCCTTCTTTATACTAAAGGGTTCTCGTCTTAAAGATAGGTATCATGCCACAAACTGGCTTATATTACCATAACAACAAATGGGTCTTCCTTCTTTGCTTTGTGGCGGATACTGGCTAGCTAAAATCAGAAACTACCTACCCTGTGTTACCTTCAGCTAAGCATATTTTTAGAATTTGTTAGCCTTGTTTTATCTCATCTTCTCTGTTTGTAGCTTTCGTAATTCCCAGGTCATTCAGTTCGTTAGAGATTAATTGGAAGCTACCAGCACACTGTACTTGAGGACAACCAGTATGACACAGAGAAATATGAGACTCCATTGCACTTCCTTTTTTCAACATTAAATCTTGGAAAAAATGTATTGATTTTCTTCCTTCCATGGTTTTGCACTCTGGATGAACCTAGTTCTGAGAAAACAATACTAGATAATTTTTCTTTCCTAGGCAGCTGGCCTTTAAATGAACATTCTCAATGGCATCCACTTCTAAGCTCAAGTCCAAGTAAACAAGAAATACGACTTGCAGGCTAACCAGGGAATCAGTATTGGCTCTTAGTGTTCTAATACTTATCAGCATATTCTAAACCATTCATCTTGCATAGAACTGCTTGATTTTAATTGCACATTAGGGGATAAAGCTTTAGTGTCTTATGGCACATGCCCCCACCCCCACATGCTCTCCCCTTTCCATTGACTAAAAGACAACAAAATATTTAAATATGGACATAAGAATTAGTTTTGAAAATTATTTATCTAGTTAGATCCTAACCACATCCTGTCAGTTTTTGTATGGTATGCATTAAGTTGCAAGGGCTACTAGAAGGTGGTGGCAAGGGTGGAAATCTGTTTTGGCTTTCTGACTTTCTCTTCATTCCTTCATGTAGCTGATGTAAATATCTCATTTGAACTTTTATCTTGAATAGTGTTTTGAAGGCTGCCCTGGGGTTTGGATAAATAAGGTTGGGCTATATGCAAACACTGGACCATAAGGAAGGCTGAGCTCCGAAGAATTGAGGCCTTTGAATTGTGGTGCTGGAAAAGACGCCTGCGAGTCCCTTGGACCACAAGGCGATCAAACCGGTCAGTCCTAGAGGAGATCAACTCTGACTGCTCTTTAGAAGGCCAGATACTGAAGATGAAACTCAAATACTTTCGTCACCTAATGAGAAGGAAGGACTCCCTGGAGAAGAGCCTAATGCTGGGAACAATAGATGGCAAAGGAAGAAGGGGACGGCAGAGGATGAGGTGGCTAGATGGAGTCACTGAAGCAGTTGGTGTGAGCTTAAGTGACTCCGGGGGATGGTGGAGGACGGGAAGGCCTGGAGGACTGTTGTCCATGGGGTCACGATGGGTCGGACATGACTTCTTGACTAACAACAACAACATATGCAAACAAGTTTATGATGTATAAAACAATTATTCATCTTTCTAATGAACCTTATTTCCGTGAAGCATCTCCCAGCAGTGTTAGGGCGGAATTAACCATTTTTTCTGTGTATGCTCCTTTTCCATTACTATGTGGTGGTTTAGCTTTTGGAAGGGGTAACGTGGAACAGACATCCATCCCAGGTATGGCAGATAGGGATGGCAGTATCACCCTGTTTCATAGACCCACAGGGTCTCCAGCTCCTGCACTTGGCAGACAACAATTTCCTGTCACTTGACTCTTGAGTTGTAGATAAGGCACTCAGTGTCTTAGAGCAGTGGGATAGTACCTTATGCCCAATAACCAAATTTATCGCTGCAGGGTTGCCCATTTAGTGATGTAAGCCACCCCGAGGCTTCAGCGAATGGGGCGGCATAAAAATGTTTTAATAAAAAAAAAATCCTCTTTCATTTTCAGTTTATTTATTATGTATCTGTACTGCCTAGTAGTATAGAATGGTATGGTTAATGGAAATAAATATTTCCTGCAATCATCAATGGCTTTTGTGTTGCATTTTCTACCATGCTAAAGACTGAAATCTTCTTCCTAAGGATTAGTTTCTGGAGCAAGGAACTTAAAGTTAAAATAGGCTGGTATATTTGGTCCCCCCTCCTTTTTTTTTTTTTTTTTGCTGGAATGTAGCCTCCGAAAATTCCTCTGAAATGGAGTGCATACTGAAAGAGGTTCTGCACTCTTGTCTTAGATTCTAATTACGACAGGGGAGAAAAAATTTCCTGCCAGCATGCCTTTTTCCCTTGCTTGAGATTTTGCAGTAATACAACAGGGGGCTTAGAAGCAGTTTGCAGTTGCAGAGCCTCACAAATAGCTATGAATTGTCCCAGTCTTTAAGCCTGCGCTGCTGACAAATGTGTTCTGCCTTTTCTTACTAGTTAGCTGGTTTTCAGTATTCTATAATGATCATTCACCTGCTTACCATCCCAATTAATCAGTTCTCCATCTTGCAGCTATGCAGTTCTTGTAAGAAAGAAAGGGCACGTCTGTCCTTCCAACAGGTTTAGTTTAATCATATGGCCACCATGTTGTGCTCTTGGGTGCATAGGAAAAAGGAGATTTTCTAGATCTGTTGTAGAAGCAAGGACAAACTTACCACAAAGCCTATATTTCATACAGTGTTTTGTGAAAGCAATGTGCAAATGATTTGTGCTTATCTTTCTCCCCCCCCCATCCTTTGTTTTCTTCCAGAGTGAAGATTTTGGAGCAGTTTTTATGAAGGCATACAGTTTCTAAAACAGATGGGAATTGGTTCCATTGAATGTTTCTTCTGGGAAAATGCACTGAATCAGAGACTGTGCCTAATATGGCTGATTGTGACCTTTACCTCTACTGGAATGGACCCCAATGCATGACTTTGTTACCATGGTGATGATCTTAACTACAACTCTGGAAAACAAAGGTGCTGATTCTCTATCATGCAGGGCTGAGCTGGTAAGAGTCCATTTCACACTCTGACAGCTTAGCTTATGCTACGAGGCATTTGTATTGTTCAGATTGCAGAGCTGTGCTCTCATTTGGTTGATTAAAAACAACTGAACAAGGAAAACTTTGTTAATTATTTCATTTGTGCTGTGCTTATAGCCCAACATAATGATGGGTGAGCAAGCAGAGTTTATGTATGCACATGCCCAATGTCATGTTTTAAAAAGTATGTGAGGTGTGTGTGTCTGAAAGATATGTCTGTCCTAATTTATTCTGAGCATAGAATTGGGATTTGGCTTTACTTGGCAGAGATTTTGTATGAGTGGTTTAGCCTTGCATGTTTTTGCATAACAAAATCATATTTAATACTTGTCTTCACTGTTGCCCATAATAGAATATTAGTGCAGAAAATCTATGAGAAAAGCACATGCATATCAAGAGAAGACTATCTTTATATTCACAATGGGAAATTAAAATCTTTGCTTAGACTGAGAAAAACAGTTGTGACCACTAATTTAGTTCTTTACTTCCTAATTTTACTTTCAGGCTCATCCTTGTGAAATAGTAATTACAGTCAAAATGGACACAAATATAGTTTCAAAATGTTCTTCTCACTTCCTCATTTTTCACTTCAGAACTTTATCTTTTGAATAATTGTTTATGTTTGGAGAGAAATATAGACTGCTCAAGTTCTCCTTCCTCCAACTTAATTAAATACACATAGCAGTATTCAAAAGGAAGTTATAAGCATAATTAATATAAGGAAGCAATAAATATAAATGAGCAGTTATGAAGAATAAACATACTAAATATAGAAAATGCTTTCATAGTGAACAATAATAAATCTAAGGCTACCATCTGTGTAGGTGATTTTAAAAATCTCTAGCTATTCAGGAAAACATAATGCTAACATTATTTTGTTTGCAATTTTTTAAAAAAATGTGCACATATGACAGTTCTTGATCAATTCAAATGTTCCCATGTCATCTGAAAAGTGATAGGACATTTCAGAAAGGCAAAGGAATGAAGAAGTCTGTTAGCAATTTAATAGGTGTGTGCAAGAGACGTATTATGTGTCAGCTAATAAGGAGAAGAAGATAATAGGCTTTGTGTGGGGTGCCTGTGGCTTTTTACATAGAAGAGAGCTCCCAAATACATCTTCTCCCTGGGAATCGCATAGGGAAATAGTGCTGTTTTCCTCAGTTTTAATGAGGGGTGTGAGCTTTTGCTTTTTGGAACATAAACCACCATTAATAATTCTTACTTGCATCTCAGGCCAGCTGGTAAGCCTAGGAATGAACCTACCTGTAAATAAAGAATGACGTTATTGCTGCCATGCATAATAAGCCTGGAAAGAAAGATTCAAAAATGCACAGGGGCATTTGGAGAACAACACCAATTGTAGCTGTTCTCTGAAAACATAACCAGGTAGCTATGTAGGCTTTGGGAACTAGAAGCAAATGTGATTGAGTTCAGAGATAGAAAGAAATGAAAAGGCAGCATTTGGATGACAGTTATGACCTACCCAGTAACAACTCGGCTTTATAGCCATATTTCAATATGAATTCCCAGCAGGTATTTCAACTTTGGCATCTAATAGTATAAAGCTATGTCCCTTGATAAGTAATTACCACTGTTCTTCGTCATGATCTCCATGCATCACACACATATGGGTGCTGCGCCTGTGTAGTACCTATTGCTGGGAAGATTTAAGAGCTTTAATGGTTTTCACCGGAACTCTGCCCCCGCCCCCCATGGTATAAATGGGCAGAGTGCCCGCCCCTTCGCCAGTCTACTTGTGACCACTGTTTGCTGTGCCTCAGGCCTTTTTGCTTGTCTCCTTGTCTGTTTTCGCAGTACTTACTTTACTCTCAAATATTTCTAAACTTCTAACTTCGTCTTACCCCTTCTTGATCTGAAACCCTTTATCCAGTTGTTCACTACCCTTACTGAATCCCCACTTTATATCTTTCCCCTTCCCCCCAACCCGCTTTCCAAATGTAAAAAAAAACCCTTCTATCATCTTAACTTTCAGCTATACCTCTCCCTTTACCACTGTACTTTCTTCCTTCTTCTCTTGATGACACAGCGGGCAGCCTTCTGCAAGTGCGCTCAGTGTGGAGCTAAAATATCTCCCACTGATCCGCACACCCTATGTCTCTTCTGCCTAGGAGAGGGACATAGACCTGACAAGTGCAGCCACTGCCAATCGTTCACTAGGCAGGCTCAGAAAAACCAAGAAAATCGGCTACACAGAATGTTGTGGGACCAAGCCTTGGTCGCCATGAACCAGGTCTCGGCTGATACCGGCTCCTTTGTGGCTCCATGGTCTTCCAAAAGTGCCCCCTCTTGCTCATCTGAAGGAGACTTGGACGGTCCTGATGGAAAGCGCCCCTCTTATTCTTCTTTGAGGAAACGTAAGGAGAAGAGGAAGCATGTTGGGTCCGAGGAGGCATTGCAACTTAAACGTCACAAGGAGGACAGACCCGATAAGACCAAGCGTCAGTACAAAAAACATGCTAAAGTGCCTCACTCCAAGCCGAGTAATATGCCTATCTCAGTACCGACCGAGCCACCCAGCCGCCAATCGGTTATGCAGGTGACACCTCCAGTGTCACCCCCACAGATCACCATCTCTCCATACTCCAGTCCTGAACGCTCGGATCCATTGGCTCGAGCATCCATCTCGGATGGAGAAATCCATGAATCTCTGCCTCATTCGGGACTTGAACGCCCACCTGCAAGGTCGCTCACATACACCTACTGGGAGACATCCCATCTCCAGAGGGATCTCCAAGGGCTCCTCAGTGCCCATCCTTCCTCTTACCTCCACAACCTCCTGCACTACAACCATTGTGGTACTGGGTGGGTTTGCCCTATGGGGAGATTGATCCCGAGTAAATGGACCAGCCTTATCTGGTCTGTGGGATTTCTATCCCCCTTATGGCTACTACTCACCACCACCAACGTGTTGCCACCATTCCATCCCTCAATCAGTGTCGAGGGACGTTCCATCAACATCTGCTGTGGTGCTCACACATCCACCAATGTCTCCAGACGGATCTTCCTCCAGGCCTCCATATGATTCCAACTCAGATTCAGAGAAATCCCAGCAGATCCCCACCTCTCCCAATGCTATTATTACCACCCAGGGTCTGGGTTCTCCTGGTGACATCCAAGGTTGGTTCTCGGAACTGCTAGCACGTATGACAAAGTCCCTTGAAATCAATGTTCAACAGTGAACCAGGATAACATGTATGATGTGGTTTGTAAAGAAGACTCCGCTCCTATTGCCCTGCCATTCATTAGCACCCCTCAACAGGCGATGCCTTACTCATCTTGTACCAACAACTCCTTCGGAACTGACAAAAGTGCCTCCTTCGGGACCGACACTCGCGTTGTCTACACTTGCTTCCACAAGATCAGAGACTCCTTCTATGCCACTTTTACACTCAGTACCGACCCCAGTACTGACAACATCTTTGAATCCGACAGATCTTCACCTGGACATTCAGTTTATTCTCTAATCTGCACTACGACCAAACACACAACAGTCCTGTAATGCTAAATGGAAGCGTTTCACCTCTTTTGCCACTGCTAACCAATTTTTACCTCAATCTGCCACCATTGAGAACATTTTACAATTCCTACTCTCGTTAACACCGTGGGGGTCTCAAACCTTCCTCCATTAAGGTGTATATTGCAGCCATCTCACATCATTGAGGATGCATTGGAGGTTCGTCTATATTCTCTCACCAACTTGTATGTCAATTCCTACAAGGATTACAAAACCTACCACCTCCAGTCCGATCGGTTGTCCCGATGTGGAACCTCTCTGTCGATTTACAGGCTCTCACCAAACCTCCATTAGAACTGCTGGCTACTACCAATCTTTGCCTTCTCTTGTGGAAAATGGCCTTCCTAGTTGCTATTACATCGGCCAGAAAAGCTAGTGAACTGCGTGTCCTTCGTGTCGACTCTTCAAATCTCAATTTCCACAAGGAGAAAGTTGTCCTCCGTACCGACCCAGCCTTTCTGCCAAAGGTGGCAATGCCTTTTCACCTTAATTAGGACTTTGTTCTACCTGCTTACTTCCTGCTCCAGATTGAGCACTCTTTACACAGCCTAGACTTCCGCAGAAGTTTGGCCTTCTATCGATCCTGAACTGAGTAATTCAGGAAAACCAAACAGCTTTTCGTCAAATACTCGGAACATGACAAGGGAGCATCCATTGGCACTGAAAGACTGTCAAAATGAATAATTGAAACGACTGAATTTGCTTACCGCCTCTCCAAACTGGACTTACCTGTTACTCCAAAAGGGCATTCCACAAGAGCTGTTGCCGCTTCTTCTGCCCTCCGTGTGGGTATTCCACTTCACGATATCTGCAAAGCGGCCATGTGGTCTACCTCATGCACGTTCATGAAACACTATTGTTTAGACATCAAGGCCAGACAGGACTGTTCCTTTGGCCACGCCGTCTTGTCTACAGTTCTTCAGTGACGACACCGTCCTGCCTCCGGGTGTGGTAAGATTGTTAGTCACCCATACATGTGTGATGCACGGACACCACAACGAAGAAAGGCAGGTTGCTTACCTGTAACTGTCGTTCTTCGAGTGGCTATCCGTGCATTCACTCAACCTGCCCACCCGCCCCACTTCGGTGTCAGTGACTGGATATACTTTGTATTTCAAGGCTTCCTTATGGAGCAGGGTTCTATACCAGCCAGCTCCATCTGGGGGTGAACGGACAGTCTTCAGCTGACTGGTGAAAGGGCGGGCACTCTGCCCATTTATACTATAGGGGGGCGCAGAGTTTGCGCCAAAACCGTTATATCTCTTAAATCTTCCTGGCAACAGTTACTGTGCAGGCGCAGCACCCATATATGTGAGAATGCACGGATGACCACTCAAAGAACGACAGTTACAGGTAAGCAACCTGCCTTGTTCAGTAGGGCTTACTCTATGGAAAATTTGCACACGATGATAGTCTATGTTTTCAACAGTTTAAAGCTATAACTACCCAGATGTACCTGAAAATAAGCCTATTGGACTAAATGGTGCATATTCCCAAGTAGGCATAAATAGATTGTGTTATAAGACTGCAGACACAGAGAAAAACAAAAACAACCAGTGAAACCTGGATGAAATTTATCTAAAACATCAATATATATTGTATTAGTTTCAATATATATTTGATTGAATGTACTTTCATTACTCAGTAAATAAGTCCTTTTTTGCCAGCTAAAACAGGTTTGCTAGGAAAAAATGGAACAACAGAATGGAGAATTGTTCTGTACTGGCAGCACAAAATAACAGTAGGTATATTTGATTTCATAGACATTAGTAAAATTTATGTAGCTGCTGAGATATTTCATCTTATTGAATGCAGAACTATAATTAGATTGTTGCTCTTTTCTCCTCTTTTTGGTGACAGCAGAGTCATAAAGTTACGATACTGATGAAGGAGAATATTCATGTAAATAGGACTGCTGAAACTCAAGTTTGTTTCATTTTGGCAACAGTAAGAACATGACAATTCTTGTAACACCAATCTGGAAATGTTTTAGCTGTGTGGATAATTATACTGCATATATTCTAGCATTATTATTTTTAATCCTGAAGACAAATTAGAATGAACTATTGTTCAACACTGAAAACTTCACCCAGTCTTTGATCTTGTATGAGCACATTCATAGAATTACTACTTAACACTGGCTTAGCCTTTCATGTAGTTTTGGAAACTGTTATAAGTGAGATCCATTAACAGGAACAGAGGCTTTAAAAAGCAGTACAGGGAGAGAACAGACTTGTTTTGAAGCTTTCCATTGTTGCCCACACTCTTTACTGGCCTATGTTCTGAGTGTTGCACAGTTTTTCGATGGCATCTAGAATGAAGGTACTCTAGATTCTAGAAGGTATTCTCTTACACTAACTTATCAGTATCTTAAGGTCTTCAGAAGCAGCTTGTCTCTAGGTTCCTTTTCTGTGAAAAGCTCATTTTGTAGGACTGGACAGAAGGCCTTTTCTGAGATGGTACTCTCGTTTCTGGAATGCCCTTTCCTACTGAAGCTTGACTGGCATTGATGGTGTTACCATTTTAGCATCATGTTAAAATTTATTTATTTGTCCAGACATTTTAAAGAGTTATACATTGTTAGTATCTCTGCTGTTATTTGATGGTTGTGGCTTATTTTAAGAGCACGATTTATGGTTTTACTCTATTATATTAGGACTTATTTTATTTTATTGCCCTGATATGTAGGACAAGAATGAGTGAAAACCCTTGTCAGTAGTTTTTGTGCTTTTTTTCAGCACACTCCAAAGAAGATGAGTCAAGGATCCACTCTCTTCTCTTGTGGAATTATGGGTGAGTATGAGATTTACTATTTTATTTTATTTCATTTTATTTGTACTGTTCAGTTATTATTGCTGTTATAAAGGGAGAAATGTAACAGGGATCATTGAACTGATTCTCAGTTTTACTTTTTTAATGCACTGAGAAATCCATTTTCTAATTTCTCATGCATTTTCCTTTGACTTCCATATGTCAACTGTTGATCTGCTTTATGTTATGCAACATGGCACCCAGCTGATGAGCTCTCTGCATTTAAATTTTCTACTGGCTGCCCTCTATGGCAATTTTTTTGTGACCTCACCGTCTTCTCAAGTATTGCAGAATCTAGTAAATCATCTCTTCAGTCTAAAACAGATGTTCTTAACTGAGACAACTGACAACAAACAGATTCCATTGCAAAGTACACTAGTTTTTTGAAAAATCAGCTAAATGACACATCTGGTATATTCAGATGATCTAGTAATGCTACATAGACTTGGGCCAGAATTTCATTGGAATGAAAGAAATAAACTTGCCTGCTATTCTAATATAATTCTCAACTCACTCAAATCCTCACTCAAATTTTGTGATGCTGAATGTTTCAAAATTAAAGTATATCCTAAAAAATACATTTGAATTTCCCTGCTCTCTGTAATCTGTAAATTGGAGTGAAACACCAAGGCTGTAAAAGAAGGCATTAACAATCAGTTAACCAGTTTAATTGGTACTCTTATGCTACTTTCATCAGTTGTCATACTGTACTGGAATATCAGCTACCATCTATTTCAATAGAGATACTTTATTGAACTTTATGTTGTCAGGGTGTGGTTGGATGCGTTTTCAAGGTTGGTGGTTTTAAAGGCACTAGCACTGCATTCCTTAGTTTCTTAATGTGACTGGGCAACGACCTCCAAACATAGTCTGAAACATTAGGTAAAGTTTGAGCCTAACTATTCTACCATGAAGTAATAGTGTTTCCCTCAGTCATAGGCATTGCTCTCAGTAGAATTAATGGGGATTGAGCAGCTGTATGGAGGGGAGTTGTATGTAAGTTTGCAGGCAATGGAGTAATCTGAGATGAAGGGAGACAAGTAGTGTGTGTGGGGAGTGAATATAGACATACACATATATGAATGAATGTTATCTTTATGTTCCCTTTGGAGAATAAATCAAGAAACAAAAACTACCAAACCAGTTGATCAAGAATACAGTGGGCCCAAGCCTAATCAGCTTGTCATAAACTTTCTACAAAGCTATATGCATTTGAGTTACATAAATCTCACTCTTATTTTGCTTATATCTTCTTTCCCAAAATCCTAATTGTACCTTGTTGACTGTAATACTTCTTGTGCAATAGTTTTTATTGTGCTCAGTCAAAAAGAGAAAATCCCTTTGGCAATTTTTTTTTTGTTTTGCTTTGTAATTTAAGGTGCCTTTCCTGATACTTTTACTTACTCTAACTTCTGCTAGTCCAGGTTAACCAGCCAAGTCATTGTTGAAACAAGCCCAAATAGGTTCATGCTAACAACCCCAATGAATTTCAAATTGCTGTACCATTAGATACTTAGATACTTACTGATTAGATACTTGCATTCTTGCTTCCGCAAAGGGTTGACAAAAGTCAGTCTTTCTAAGTTTTGATTTAGATTGGGGTCAGTTGGAAAGCAAAAAATGTACATTGGACTGGAGAGAGAGCTTGACTGCTTTTCTTGCTTTGTTTGAGAATAGGCACAACATCTTGAAAACTATCTATTTGGCTTTTAGTGAACATGGAAAAAGTAGGAATTAATAAAGTTGGTCTATCCATAGAATAAACAATACTGCTTTTGTGAATGAAGTTGTGTAAGTCTAGCACTAGGATGCTATCAGGGTGGGCTATAGTTAAGGCATCCTGCCCACAGAGCACAGACTAACTGGGAATGGTGATTAATATCCAACTCATGGTACCAAAAGCATGTTTGCCCTGGCAGAAATGCCATTTTACCTTAAGGAAGAGGCTAGATAGACCAAGCACTTAAGTAGAACTGCTTTGTCTCAGATGCAGTAATGGCCTTGTACAATATTCTTGCTTCATTCTCACACTCCATAAATTAGTCCATGGTTTATGCAGGAATACTTCACCCATTTCAGCTTGATTTAAAATTTCTCAAACATCATTTAAGTAAAAGTGAAGCTCTTTAAAAATCAACAATATTGAAACAGTTTAGTCATTTGCAAATTGCTCTGGGCTTTCCTCACTCTATAAGTAACATAGTTGTTTTTAATTTCATAACCATAACCAAATCAGTGTAATTCATTTCCCGTTAGCTACTTCTAGAATACTGTTATTAAGTTTTTAGACTTTCAGTGTGTGTCAGAGTAAATGCCACTTATCTTTAGGCTTTTTAAAACTTCAGTCTGTCACTTATACCTATGTATTATATTGCAGTGTGCCACTTTAAAACAACTTGTGTGAATAAAACTGTTTATCATAGCTTCATATGGAGAAAATGTGGGTATATATTGCCAATTAGCATCCAGTGGCAGTCTCTATTGTCAGAACTACAGTAGGGGAAAAATGATTTTAAAAACCTGATTCCTGAATGTCTTTCAGCTCAGTCATATGCATTTTTATTCAGAAGCAAGTCCCACTGGGTTCAATAAATCTTGCTCCTACACAAGTATGCAATGGTGTGCAGTCTGAGCCAGTGATTATTTAGTGTAGATATCTGAAAAGGTATCAAATACCACTTGATACCCTAATAAAAAGCATTAATCTTCCAAATATTTGGCAAACCACAGTAGCCCACAGTAAAAAAAAAATATTAAGAATTCTTTGAGTTTGCTGAATAGTGGTCCTACTAATAAAAGAGAAGATTTCTTTTCTGGAAAATAGATGGAAGATGAGAAATGTACTGCTATAAATTCAGCCTTGAGCAAGAGCCATTTTGTATGCCTTGCTTGAGTAGCTCATGAATGGTGTGCAAATAAATTGTTTCTGTTATAGAACAATTTCCCCCTATGTCCTCTTCTATAGCCATTGAATGCATTCACATGATCAGATAAGTGACTCTGTGAATATCCCCACCAAGATGATTTGGCTCACTGTGACTTGCTCTCCCTTCTCCTTTGCCTCAGTCCCCCAGCTTGCATCTGAGTTTCATTTGTGGCAGAACCTACTTTGTTTCCCTCTCTCTGCTCTGATTGCTAGCTCTTTTCATTTGCTGCCATTTTTTCCAGAGCCTCAAAAAAAGCTCAACTGGAATTGTATGTTTTAATTTTTTGGCCTCTGAATATTGTGCACTTGTGTTCCTAATTTTTGATGATGGTTATAATGCTTCTCAGTCTTATTCACATGCACAAGTATGCTGTTACAGCTGTTCAGTATGTATAGTCTTGCCTGGTCAGTGTCCATGTCTGTTATGCTGCCAAAGAGAGCAGTAAAGTGGAGTAGGTAAGGTACATGGAAAATGAGAAACCAAGACTGCATGTCTGCTAATTTGTGCACAGTTGCTAGAGTCTAATTGCTGCCTGTCATTTTAAAAACACAGGTAAGCAGAGGAAAACAGCAAAAGAAAGTATTCGAAAAGGTACAGGAACTAGATCTCCTCCTTGGCAATGTGACACTCTGGCTTTTAAGAACTGGTGGGTGGTTCTTAGTTTTCCCCACCTTTTAAACACTTGCCTGAGTCTACAGCTACTCCACAAAGGGTGGGGGGAATATTAACTGCCCTTTTGTTGCTCCTTTAAAAAGCCCTTTGCAGTTAATACAGTTTACCAACTGTTAAAAAACCAACAGCACAGTAAATGGAGGAGAAATTTGCGTAGATTTCTACGCAACGAAGATGCATGGCATTTTTGCTGCTAGCTTGGTAATATAGCGAGCCTCAAAGCATGGGTGGTGTATCTAATGCATGCATTCAGATTCAGACAAAACTCACACCTAGTCAGCTGCAGAACTGCCATAGCCTGTGTGGTTAGCATTTTTTAAGTATCAGAGATGGAAGACTGCCTTTTACAGGGAGACTTTCAATGATAACAGTTGTAAATCACAACTCTGAACAACATGGTGTGTTTAAGTTGTCATGCTCCTTTATCAAAGCAACAGGATGCATTTTCACAGGACCATACTTCCTTATTATTTTAATATTGAATGTTGATAACACAAAAAAATAAAGCTTCTAAGTTTCATAGGAGTTCTACTGAAACAAATAGAACTATACTAAACAAATAGAACTAGTTTGAACTTGCAAGCAATATTTTCTTTACTTTCTGAAGAAGAATATGTGCGTCAATTCATGCTTCAGATGGGCATACAGTACTTTTAAAAACAAAGATGCATTACCTAAAGTTTATGTTAGAGCAGCTTCTCTTTGTAACTCTCCCTACCAATGTTTTTGTATCTCCTTTATACTGGGCAAATATAATAATGACTTGGCTCATATAACGTGATAATCCATCATCAGTAACTCATCTTGGTGGGTTGTCATGTTGTCTGAACCCAGAACACTTCTCACAGGTTGGTTTATTTTTCAGCAGCAAACCACCCTGACAGTCAATGGTTTGTTTTAGGGGTTGTTGGAAACACAATGGGTTGTCCTGTCTTCCAAACCTTGGGACAGCAGTTTCATCATGAGTTGTGGAAATCAGCTGGCAAGCCACTCTACAAGAGCAGCAATCCACTTTTTTTAGCAATCTTGTCAATGCGCCTGGTACAAGTGATTGCTCTCCCCTTATTCCCAAGGAGGACTTTCGAGTGAAAATCACTGCATTGCCACATTTTTGGCCCCAGAAATATGCAAAGTTTGTTCATCTTCATCATTTATACCAACATTTGAAATATGCTTCCTGAAACAGGCATGGAAGAATTTATAAGACTTGGTGAGAATTTTGACTTTGTAATTCAGACACAGGCAGTGTTGTTGGGCTATGGGCATGTTTGGAAATTTGGGGAACTGTTCTGGGCACCATCACAAAGTGGCTTCTGTGGGAGGTGTAGTAAAGGAGAAGCAATCTGCCCAAAAGACTGCGTACAGGTCAGTGGTGGCATGTGA